TTCGATTCGATTCGATTTGAAAAAATCAAATCAAATTCAAATTGCTTAAATATTTGATTCGATTCGATTTTGAGGAATCCTAGCGGTATATATAGGCACATTGTCTTCTTGAAAAAAAACCTTTTTTTGACCTTTTTTGAGTGAGACTTGACTGTGGGAATAACATAATCATCATGATGCATAACTCTAGTAATGTGATTTTCTAAGGGGACCAAAGGACCCAAGCTAACCTAGGAAAAACACCCCCATTACATGCGACTAAAGCTCTTTTGGACCGTGGCTGCAATACAATTTTCATGAAACTCTTCAGAAAGTTCATGCCACACACATCTGAAACCTGAAGTTCTAAATTGTGTGTAGGTAGACTCATCTGACCAGACAACTCATTTGAAATCCTCTACTGTCTAATTTTCGTAAGTACAGGCCCACAAATAACGTTTTTCTTTATTGCTTTCAGAAATTAAAGACTGAAATGAGAAATTCGGGAATAGAGACTTTCTTTGGCTAATTCATTTCAAATGGTTTGTATAAAAATGGTTTTGTTTGTTTCGTTTATAAAATTTAAATGTATTTGAGAAAGGGTTTGACAACAGGGTTTTTTATTCCTAACCACCAAACTTTGAGATGTTTGCGTTCAGTTTCATTAAGAATTCGTAGATGACCTAAACATTTCTTTAGAAGGCTTTTTAACTCATATGACTCCCAAATATGTCGAACAGAGGAATAAAAGCAATCTATGACTTCAGAAATCCTAGTATTTATGTGTCTCAATTTTTTAGCTGCGATAATAGCTCCTTTTTGACTTTCACTAAGTTTCACATCCTTGCGGTAAATTTTTTTGCACTAGTAAAAAATTTTTTCATATGACTATATAACCAACTTTGTGTTATACTAAGGGGGTGGCCAACTTTATAGTTACACAATATGATTTCTGATCAATAAAACTGTCCTACATATAAAATTAATATTATGTTATTAATAAAATATAATGATCAGCAAACAAAATACCCCTGCAATTAAAAAAATTTACTAATTAAATGTGTTATCTTCTAAAATGTGATGTCAATTAGATTCACATTATTACGCATAAATTGTTAAAATTTTATTTGAACTCTTCGAAAAAAAAAAACTCTATCAGCTATTTTTATTACAATAATTATGGTAAGTAAAGTAAATTTAATGCCATTTTACTAAGTAAATTAATTTAAAAGTCTCACATTTTAGAAACAAGTGTTAAGTAATCATACCAACTCTTAAATATTAAAAAAAATCAAGTATCCTGAAGCCTTCCAAGAATTATACCGTCTTAAGCCAGAATTTAATGGCAAACCGAAGGTTTTTTTTGTAAAAAAACACTGTATATAGAAGGACTTTTAGTTTATGACAAACATGATAAGATTTTTTATATTTTTGACAAAAAAAGTGATGAAAGTTTTAATTTTTTTGCTTTTTGTTTCAAGTTTCTTAAAAGTAAAAAAATATTTGGTGGTGAACGATCAGCATTAGCTACAGTTTTCTTTGAACTAAACACCTCTGGTTTTAATTTGTTTTCATTATTAAGAACAAAGCCAATTCCATATTAGAAAAATTATAACTCAGCAACTATAATAGAAGTTATATCATTAATCAAGAAAAATATAAATTCAAAACAAGAGTTTTTTGATATAGGATTAAAAGAAATAATTGATAGAATAAGTATTACATTTTTTGGAAAAGAACAAAGAATAGTAAAAATTTTAATTTTTAAATGGCAGAGGAATTTAATTTCTTATGAATTATATGTTTTAGAAAAAGATATCAAAGAAATTGACAGAGTAGTAACAAAAACTGTGATTGAATGAACTCTTTTAAAAATAGAAAAGATAATTAATTATGTATTAAAAGCAAAGATATGTATTGGACAAAAGACCGAAGGTGTTATAATTTTTTTAATACAATTGAAGATTGACAATGCGACATTGATTTAATTAATTTTTAATTTTTTAAAAATTATTATTTTAGGTTTTGAAAATGTGGTTCAGCTTTGGGGTATTCATCTCGTAAGAAATCAAAAAAATTCTGAAAATATTGACAAACCTTTTGCAATCCTAGAAAATAAGAGTCAACCTGATGAAGCATATAGAAGAATAGACTGTTTTTTGTTAGTAATTAATGCGAATATATGTAAAAATTGTCAAAAATTGAAGAATACATTAATAAGAATTAAAAATCGAAATTTTACGGATACTGTTAAAGTTACCCATACTTCTCAAGAAATTTTAGTTAAAAAAATTCAACTTCAAAGAAAGGTAATTACTTATGATTAGTGTTCCGCACAGATCATATCAGATCAGATTTAGGCAAAATCCAATTCAATCCGTATCTGAAAAATCTGAATCTGATTTGATCTGAATCTGAAAAATCTAAATCTAATTCAATCTGAATCTAACAAATCTGAATCTGAATCTGAATCCGTATCCGATGGATCAAAAAAATTTTTTAACAAAAATCGCCTTCACCATTCAGAATAGTGTTTTAATGTTAAAAAATAACAATTTTATTATTTTTTTAACAAAATCCGCGTCTGACTTTTGGGGTGACATTTTATTATTAAAATTTAATTTTTTTAATAATAAATGCTGCGTCTGACTTTCAGGATGGCATTTTAATATAAAAATTAATAAAAATTAATTTTTTTATTAATAAATGTCGCATCCGACTTTCAGGGTAAAATTTTATTATTAAACATTAATTTATTTAATAATAAATACCATACTGCATCTGACTTTTGAGATGGCATTTTTATATAAAAAATTAATAAAAATTAATTTTTTATTAATAAATGCCATATCTGACTTTTGAGGCGGCATTTTATTATTAAAATTTAATTTTTTTATTAATAAATACTGCGTCTGACTTTGGGGTGATATTTTATTATTAAACATTAATTTTTTTATTAATAAATGCTGCGTCTGACTTTTGGGATGGCAATTTTATATAAAAAATTAATAAAAATTAATTTTTTTATTAATAAATACTATGTCTGACTTTTGGGGCAGCATTTTATTATTAAAATTTAATTTTTTTAATAATAAATGCTGTGTTTGACTTTCAGGGTGGTATTTTTATATAAAAAATATATAAAAATTAATTTTTTTTATTAATAAATGCCACATCTGACTTTCAGGGTGGCATTTTTGTATAAAAAAATTAATAAAAATTAATTTTTTTGTTAATAAATGTCATGTCTGACTTTCAGGGTAGCATTTTTATATAAAAAATATATAAAAATTAATTTTTTATTAATAAATACCACGTTTGACTTTCAGGGTGACATTTTAATATAAAAAATTAATAAAAATTAAATTTTTAATAATAAATGCTGTGTCTGACTTTCGGGTGGTATTTTATTATTAAAAATTAAATTTTTTTAATAATAAATGCTGCATCTGACTTTTGGGTGGCATTTTATTATTAAAAATTAAAATTTTTTAATAATAAATACTGCGTCCGACTTCAGAACAGCATTTTTTATTTCAAATCTAACAAATCAGATCTGAATCCAAATCCAAATCTGACGGATCAAATCTGAATTCAAATCTGAATCTATCGGATTAAATCAAATCCAAATCTGAATCTGATCCAGATCTGACAGATCGAATAAATCAAAATTCAGATCTAAATCTGATTTGAATTCAATAAATCTGATTCAATCTGATCTGTCAAATCTGGATCAGATTCGGATTGAATCAGATTTTTTGCGAAATACTACTTATGATTAAAAATACAAATTCAAGAATAAAACTAATGTTAGTATAATCTTTTAAAGAAAATTGCAAACCAGAAACAGATTATATATACCTTACAAGTTCAACTTCAACAAAAGGTGGAAGAAGAAGAGAAGAAGATATCAAACGAGTTGGGTCAAATAGCTAAAAAAGTAGCTTGTGATGTTATTAAAAAAAATTGATCTTTCTTTCTTTAATCCAATGTTTTGAGAATTAATTAAAATTCAAACTGAAAAAGCAAATAGAGTTAGATACCATCCAATGTAAGTATAAAAGAAACATAATTAAATAAAAATTACATAATAATTTACTTTAATTTTCAGGTTTTTATGATGGGCTATTTCTGTATATAGTCGGGCAGGTCATGCTGCTTATGAAATAATGAAAGGCATCATACAATTGCCTTCAATATCAACCATAAAAAGCTATATAAATGAAAGCCATCAACAATCAGGATGGCAAAATAGAACTGCGTATCATATATTAGAAAAGATGGCTATAGAAAATATTGGTAGTCATGATTGAATTGGATTTTTTTCCATGATTCCTTTAAAATACAAAAAGGTTAATCTTGTTTATAAAATATTTATCCAAAAAAAAATATCCATACAGATACTTACTTATTTAATATTAATAGATTTATTTTTGAGTCAACGGGATAATCGTTATGTTGGATATTTGGATTTTAAAAATGAAAAAGAAGAATTACAATCATTCATAGTATAATGTGAAAAGGAACTGCAAAGAGAAAATATAAGCAACTTACCTAATCCAAAAAAAATCATAATTAAGATTTAGCAACACAGATGCATCAAATCATTTGGCATTCAGCTACTTATAACTTTGTATATCCTATAGCATATTATGAGATTAATACTCTTACTTATACATGAAGTCGAAATGAAAACCCAAAAGTTGAAATGTTTTGACTTTGGAGGTCAAAGTTGAAATGAAAAGTCAAAATAGTCGAAATTACGTCATATCACATGATTTTATATATAGAAAAAACAAAATAAAAGATGTACAATCTCAGTCAATATCACTCCAATTCATATGAAACAACTACCATTCAATTCCTTGTGACTAGACGAATCTAATGAGTTAACATTCATTGATTTTAGATTATCCTATCTTGAGATATTTGCGATCATATTTCGAAATCCGAACTCCTTTATTTAAAGTAGAATTTATTGATTTATAATTTTGGCCGATAATACAATTGCGAGTATCTCATGATTGGATAATCCAAAATCAATGATTGTTAGCTCATTGGATCACCTAGTTTCGAGGAATCGAATGGTAGTTATTTCATACTAATCGGAGTGATATTGACCGAGATTGTACATCTTTTGTTTTTTATTTTTTCTAAATATAAAAAATCATATGATATGATTTCATTTCAACTATTTCGCGACTTTAGCCTCCAATAGTCAAAATGATTTCGACTATTTTGACCATTTTGGATATCCGAAATGATCTATTTCAACTTCATGTATACTCTTACAGCATATGAAATTAACAAAATACTTTTTCAACTTGCAGCTAATCTTGAATATATTGGCATTCATACTTATGGATCTGTCTGTGACAGTGCTGGAGAAAATAGGAATCATATTAAAAGTTTTGACTGGTGGGCTTCTTCATGGTCTTTAGAAGATATTATTGAAGTTAATACTGGAAAAAACAGTTATGAGTGTGCAAAGATTATAGCAAAAAGTCTTGATTATAACAAGTTTATAATACAATTATTGAATTCATTCATTGAACTTCAAGTTGATCGCAATTTATTAAGACAACCAATGCTTACCAAACAAAATTGGAATATTAATGATTCCTGTGAATTTAAAAGTCCTAAAGATAACAAATAGTATGCAGCTATTATTACAAATATTGATTCTGAAGTACAAACATTTGATGTTATAATTTTATCTAATAAGAAAGGATGGAAAGTAGCAATTGTATTTCAAGATATATATGTTAGACCTTTTTATGATGCTCAGGTTCATTGGATGAATTATAAAACAATAAATCTAATTACTTATATACCATAGTTTTTTATTAGTGATCCTACACATATTTTCAAAAAACTTCAAAATAATCTTTCAAAAGTCATATTGGAGAAGGTCAAGACTGAAATGTTAGAGAGATTATGATAAATGGAAAAGAAGTTAACTAGCATTATATTCTAGCAAAAATTATAAGACTTACTAAGCATCATGTCTGGCTTACTTTATAGAGTAAGATGCGAGTTGATCTAGCTGAGCATACTTTATCCAAGAACGTTGAAAATGCAATGAATTTAATAGATAAACTAAAAGAAATATTGGCAGGAACAAAAGTAAGTAAATAATAAAAAGTATTAAAATAAAATCAATAAAACTCTAATAGATTTTCTATTCAGGAATTTATAAATTATTCAAATCTTTATCGGCAAATATTTCATAGCAAAAAGCCTTTAGAAGGTCTTGCAGATTCTCGCCTTCAAACCTTAAAAAAAATTTATGATTGGTTTGTAATTAAAGATCGTCAAAAAATTAGTATAATAAATTGGATTTCGCCACAATGCCAATTTGATTTACTTTATCTATCCAAGGTTTTTTAGGAATAATAAAAGAGATTTTTATTCTATATCCAGATTTAGTTATTGAATCACGCTGAGTATCACAAGATATGTTGAAAGGACTATTTGAAACAATTTGACAGCTTGGAGGTGATTTTTCTACACAAACCTTAAAAGGATATAGGCATGCATTAAATAAGTTTCGTGTTACTGCAAAAATGACTTCTGAACTCAAAAGTATTAACTATAGGAAATTAAATCATACAGGAATAGAGTTTGATTATCTTACTCAATAGTAAGTGGTTTTTTTTATAAATTAATATTTACATTGTAAAAATAAAAATCTTTAATTTTAATTTTAGTTTTGGTTTTGATTTTTAAGTGATTGTAGAAAAGCATCAATAATAATACACATTCTACTTTATTAAATAATGCTACACAACTATCTAACATGCCCCCTTTTATATGAAAAATTTTTGAAGTTCTTCTTCTAGATGATCTATTTATGGGAAGA